CCACCCCCCCCGAATTTAAACATCAGTAATAGAAAATACAAATATAATAAATGGAAAACTTGTATACATAGAATAACACCCACCTAAAATGCAAAACACAACCAATCAATTATCTGTAATGGATTAATATGGATTGAATAGATACTGCTACCGTAGTACAAAGTCACAAGTCATATAATGAATTCTTAAACTTTTTTACAACAATTCAACACCACTAAAGAAGCTGAGCTCACGCATCATGATATTGGGGCAGCACCGTGGTTATGGAATAGGACATAACCAGGAATTGGCATATGCTAGATGATTGATGCACAGTTGAATGATGTGGGAGCTCAAGTGAAAACCGGAAAATATGGCTGAAAAGAAAAATATTGGAGGCGAGGAATGTGAAATGGAGAACGAGTTACCCCGGTAGGCAGATAGGTGGAGAAATCAGATGGTGGCCCTAGAGGGAATGGAGAAAGGACTGTGCTCAGACACGGTAATGGTTCCTACTAGCGGGCCTATGCAGACCTATCTGGTCAAAGCAGTACATTAATGTGCATGCTTTGTCATGCGTTAATGTGCTTTGTATTAAGGTAGTACAAACATTGGACCTGCACCATTATACCCAATGTAATGCACATTCGCTCACTGCAAAGCAGGTGGATTGGGTGCACTGGGGTTTAGTGCAAGGTAGCTAAACTTCGACCCTCCAGCTGTGGTGAAATTACAGATCCCATTATGCCTCTGGGAGTCGTGCCTGTCAGAATCTTGCAATGCTTCATGGGATCTGTAGTTTCATTTCACCACAGCTGGAGGGCTGAAGCTTAGCTACCCCTGGTTTATTGTGTTGGGATGCCATTCATAATAAATACTGCATGTTGCTGCGACAGATAGATCTGGGCACACAGGTCTGAATTGTTTCTTACCGAACCGCTTGAAGTCGAAATATGAACGAGCTGTTTTGCCAGGCAAAATATTTGTAGTTCTGTTTAGTCAGTCTTGTTTAGCCAGGAGGGTAATGACAATGTTAGCTGTTGCAGCTTCCTGTGTCACCCCACCGTCCTGACTTGGACTGTAAGTGAGTATTATCCCACTGGAGAGGTCCTGCTTGTGCTCGGCCTGCACTGTAACTAAACCTCTCTCAGTACCTGAAACATGTTATTACACTGGCGTAGAAATGGCTATTAGCGCTAGGTATTATGGGGCGGTGTTATAACCAGAAGAGTTCAGCTACTATCCCGCTGTTTTCTGCTGTTAGTTTGGAGCATGAGTTGCTGAAAATAATAATCTTTCTGCAGATGTTGTGTTCTTTGTAGCTTGGTGAGGTGATCCCTGTATATGGCGATCTTTTCCTGCTCTGCTCTTTAATCTCTATTTTCCAGCTTTGATTTTTAACTCTTGTTGTCTCTTTCAGACTTGTCGGGACTCACATTGCAAAGCACTGGTAAGTCTACTTCTAACAGGCTGTGTGCAGTACATTTTTGTATGTGTAAACCCGTGGTGGCCGTTACTACTTGATACAGGGGCCCCGAGTGTGTCCCTTGACATCACCAGGAGGCCGCATATAATATGTGGTGAATGTTATGCTACAGAAAGCTATCAGGGACTGTATACATGCTCTGGAAGGTGGTCAGAGACCCCAGACATTGTTGGATAATGGGGAGTTGGGTCATGAGACAGTCGTAGTCTGGAGACACATTACATGAGACTGTTTAGTTGGGTGTACATGTATAGATTTTCTTCGATCGACCTGCAGGCTGAATTAAGAAAATATAAAAGATTCCTCCATCCACGCTGAACACTGTGGATGGACAGATCTCCTGCTGCTTTCATTGTATTCTAACAGTGGCTGCCGGCCCTTGTCAGTATAGCACAACAGAGCTTGCAGCCAAAGATTTTTCCAACCTGCTCCTTAGGATCTGCAGATTGAGGGATGCCGGGTGGAGCCGTCAATGGCGGCCGCTCTATGAATTTCAGCCCGTTCATCAGGAACCCGCCACGATTCGTATTGTGTATACCCTATTTTTAGAGATGTCGGCTGTTAAAGCCCCTTCTCAAATAATTGCTTCTACTTCCTACAGCCCCCTTAAAATTACTTGTGCCACATTGGACATCACTATAAGCTCAAGATCCTTTCTATAAGATCAGAGGAATGGTACAAAGAGAAAAGGGAAGGACCACTCGGGGAAAAAAAGATAGTGTGAAGGAATAAAGCTATTTTACTACTAGAACCCAATCTACAGAATGTACTTATTTCACTGATTTGAGTTATCACCTAGGTAAAGGAAATCCAGGCTGCAGAGGTCCCGAGGGCCACACAATAAGCGCCAACAGGCAGCAGATTGGGCACGAGGGTGTAAACTATGCTGCTGATAAAGTATAATGATTCAAATAAAATCGACGTAGAAGAAGTAAATGTAGACTGTTTGTTGTGTTGCAGCGCCATCTAGTTTACTAGTGAAGGATGAATATGGCCATGACTATGAAGGACAGCAAAGCATTTCCTCTTCTGACGGACATTCTATTCAGACAATCCAACACCCACCAAGTAACAGGTCATCCAGCGACGGCTACAGCAATTCTTCACTGCTGGCATCCAGCGAGCCAAGCACCCCCAATGCCGCCTCCTTTGCCAGCATCCCCGTTCCTTCAACCAGTAAGTAACTTCTGTCTATCTAGTCTGTGTTATGGCTCTTAACTGCTTAATCCAAAACAAACCTTAAAGCGGAACTCCAGGGATTTGAAAATTATACTCTTGTGGTGGGACTACCCCAGCAGTGCAAGGGTTAACTGCTAAATTTTTCTAGGGAGCAAAAATAAAGACGATATACTCGCCCAATCCTCGGTCCTGTCTGACTGCTAGACCATACATATTTAGGTGGGTGCAACGGTCGACGGATGGCAGCCATCTCTATGCATGATTTAGAACAGTGGTTCTCAATCAGTGTAACCTCAGGACCCACATTTGTCCTTGGTCATTAAGTCACGACCCAATTCGCACCGCATTGCGGTACAGCGCGTTCCGATGCGGGCAATCGAACTGGGTAAGAGGTGCGTTTGTGATGTGTTGTAAAATCTGTAGTTTAACTTTTTTGTTCCCCTGCTGCTGTAACCGGCAGAGTGACAAATATTTTTCTTAAAGCTAAACGCACTGCACCATAAAATTGCATCTAAATATGTTGCCTAATAGTATAAACTAGGGCTGGTAATTATTTAAAAATTTTGTGTTCGATTAATCGAAATTTTTTAAAATCGATGAATCGATTTAATTTCAATGTAATTATAACGCACATACAGATCCAACTACATTGGCCTATACACATACAGCACAGCAATGAAGTAATAAAATGAACTAGGATCACACTAATCCAGCACGTTATTAATCTCACGTGCCCCACTCAATATGGCCGCCGCTTGAGTGGGGCAACTCAGAATAATAACGTGCTGGATTACAAATGTATTTACATAGTATAGTAAAACGGCAAAGCCCTAAGGGTGATTTAAACATAAGTATTAGCTTAATATTTGAGGTAGTAGCACCTGTCCATTCCATTTCATGTAAGGACCTGATTGCAACATAATATCAGGAAATTTCAATGGGCACATTTCTGGGAGCGAGATGGGGGGGGGGAGGTTAATGGAGAGCCACATAGTGCATATATATAAGTTTAAGATAAGACAGAAGCTTGGTGCTTCTTGGGCAAACTCACCGGCCCAAGTGGCTCCGTCGGCTAACGAAGGGAAGGGGGGAGGAGTCCGGTGACGTCACAGACATCAACGTCACCAGACTCCTCCCCCTTCGTTAGCCGACGGAGCCACTTGGGGAAGGGGGAGGAGTCCGGTGACGATGCCCTTGACATCACCAGATCTCCGACGGGACTCCCGAAAGCCGGAGGAGAGGTGAGTCTTTTCATTTTCGATCAAAATAATTTTAATCGATCAAAAAGTTTAAAGATTAATCGAGAAATTCATCGTTAATTTCCCCAGCCCTAGTATAAACCCTTGGTTCTCAACTGGTGGGTCGCGACCCCGTGTTCAGTGGGTCGCTGCATGCCTTCCACTTTTGTAGGTGAGAGGCTCCTCAGTCTCCCCCTAGCGCAGCAATGTCAGTGCTCGCACCGAGCAGCCATTCAAAATATGCTGCCTGGCGCCGTATGTCAGCTTGAGGTGGGATAGGATGGAGCTATGGCCCCAAAGGAACTCCGTCCATACGTGCATTGCTTATAGCTCCCTCACATGTCCTATAGAGGTGCCTGGACAGGAGTGATGTCACATTCTGGCTCCCGGCACTTCTACAGGGTGTGCAAGGGAGCTGTATAAGCAATACACATATGGATGGAGCTCTGTTACAGCATAGCAGCTCACACTGGACCCCCAGGCTGAGGAGCCACTCCTACTGTGCATTATGGTGTGGGAAATGTGTTGCGTTACCATTCATTTGAATAGTACCCCAAACGCACCTCCCTCCCACAGTTTGCCCGCACCAGAATGAGCGGTACCCTAATGCCGTGCGTTCGATTGCAGTGTGATTTGGGTTGCGACTTAATGACCAAGGACAAATGTGGGTCCTGAGGTTACACGGGTTGAGAACCACTGATATTAATCCACTTTGTGTGCACCGTATGCATTTGCTAAACCCCGATATTGCCGTACAAGTATTCGTAATGCCATTGCTGTGCTGTTCAAAGCCTGTGCAGAGGCCCACGCACTACAGGCTGCTTGCATAAAAATACAGGAGGGGCGGAGACCAGACCAGCCACCCTGCACAAGAAGGAAGAGCAGCAGTGACTGGTCTTTAATGGAAACCGACACATAGAGAGTTTCACACTGAACTTCTCCACAGTTCTGAAGAAAATGCACATAGGGATGCCAGGATTTAAGTACGAATACACGGCACTTGGTTTAGCCCAAACTTCACCTTTTTAAAGTTAACAACTGAATGCCTAAACTTTTTTTTGTTAACATGCGTATGAATGTCTTGTACGGTTCCTTTTTATAGATGTTAGAATGCCCTGGAAGTGATGCTAAACACTAAAACATAATAACTTTTTTCATTCTTCATACTGTTATACAGAAATGTACGAGTGTCTGGAGATGATTTTTATTGTTTTGACTGCTTTCTGTGTACAAACACGCCAAACCCAGAGAGAAACCTATTGGCAGTATCGATCGCACAAGACTGAGGATGTTGTTTTCCCCCAGGTCAGCCTGCCGGTTTATTGGCAGCTACACACGCTGATGGACTGCTGCAGATTGCCTCCGTGCCGCCTCAGGGGACGCAGCAAAATGGCTTCAGTGCTCAACCAGCCACGTATCATCACAGTAAGTGGCCTCAAGCTGTCAGACTATTCCCTGTGTAAATCTGTCTATTTGTTATGCTGTGAGTCTCGCTATCTGTATCGTCAGATCAGGATACAACACAAAATGCAAGATCACCAGTAGACCAGTATAGAACTATCACTGGGAAGCACGCATGTTTCGGCATCTTTACAAATCTGCATTAATTAAACCCTGACGTGTCCCCTAGAGCAACAATATAATTTGTCATAATTGATTTTTATCATTAAAAAGCTGTTCTCAAGCTTGTTTGGTGACTTTGTCTAGGCAGATATGTCAGTCTGATGCACGGGGGAAGAAGCAGTTCCTCAGTCTCCTCTGCCACATTGATCAGACTACAACATTGTAAATTTGAAGCAAAGTGAAGAGGCTGCAGCAGAGGAAATCTGTGCCAGGACCTGCACAGTCACCAGGACTTAACTGGTTTTGCCAACTCTGATGTGGCATCTCAGTTCAGAAAGTAGATGCTGACCTTGGATGATGCCTGAACAAACATGGCACTGTGCTGGAGAGCAAATCCGACGAAGCCATTGACAGGGAGAGTAATGCAAGCTCTCTGCGGGGTGGTAAACATCTGGAAGTGTTACATTTGCATGGCATGCATGCACTTTAAAATTGCCGCTGTCGGAATACCCAAACAGCTTATTGGCTGCTAAGTCTGTTCATCCGAAGACTTTCCACCTGGCTCCTATGACCCTGGTAGTTCTTGTGAAAATGCCAAGTATCGGCACTAATATCTGAACATTCCTAGCTGTCGGTGTCTGCATTGGGGAGATTGACCCCTTTTATTTGCGTTGGTGATCATAGTCCCTAGAAAAGTAAAGGGGGAGGGGAGCATTTTAAGAGTTGGCCAGAGAACAAGAGATGAGGGGAAATTTTCTATTGAAGACAACAGTTTTAAGAGGGGAATTCCGCTCACTTTTTGCGCCTCCTAGGACAGGAAGTGAAGGGAAATTTCCCCAATGGTGCACAGACAGGCAACAGATAAACTGAAAAGAGTTTTGAGTATTTCCTACTCTGTCCAAAACTTTAAAAAAGAAAAACAATGTGCCCATAGATGCACTTTAAGCTTATTAGGTAAAAATAGATTTCTGATGGTCACTATTTCCCTAGTATGTGCACCCAGACATGATTGTCTTTAGAGATGAAGGTTGGCCTGGCCCTTTGCGTAATGCAGTGCACGCAATATAGCTTGGACATGGATTCTGCGTTGGTGCAGTTTCAAATACATATTACTGGGGTTGGACAGACCTCACGGGAACCTTGCACCCACAGCCAGTATGCTACCCACAGGTCCGCCTGGGATTAGTACTGTCTTTGAGCCTTTGATTGGATACTCCTGCCCCAGCTATTGCATTAAGGGAGTTTAATCCGGACCCTGCAGGTACTTCACCATTAGGAAGTGGAGAAACTGGATTCTGGTGAGCGCTGAAAAAGACTGATGTAATATCTGCTAGCAGCATATGTAAATGTACAAAATGTATCTATTTTTGGTTAAGGGACGAATTTCCTTTTGTGTCCTGATATTCATCAGTGGTTGTTGTCCAGTTATCTGATCACGGTGTTGTAAAACAGATCAGTATTTGTTTTCTTTTGTGGCATTAGTTTGGTGCCAGAATTTTTGGCTTAGGTTTGTCAAATTTTATTTTGGTAGCAAGACCTTTAATAATTTATTGTGCCAATATTCCCAATGATCGCCCAGACTCTGTTCATTGCCAGACAACTATCATTTGCAGAATGAAATTCATCAATGTAAGCCTATGTCTGCCACATGAAAGGTTTCCTTTACTGGTTTGTTCAGGTTATGTGTAGTGACTATGCAGAATGCAATCTAAGCAAACTTGTGCTTCATAGTATACATATGAAGTTCCCGGTCATTGCTGAAGCTCCCCTGCTGTCTGATCTTCCTGTTGGAGCCCCAAAAGATACCCAGCACTTCTTGTTATGGAAGACAGCAGCATATTCATGTGAGCACCCTGATGCTTGCATATTACATTTGTTATTTTGGGGTGG